TAATCGGGATGGGTGTGTCAGAGGCGGTGCGGTTGGCGCAGGATAGAGCAGGGTTTAGGGCTGTTGTGCATAGGGTCGCTATGAGTCGGAAACGACTTGACGGCACATAACAACAACAACAACAACCATTGAATTCACTGCGACTGGCACAGGAGGAGATGGCCCCTCCTTGTCCAGCAGAGCTGGAGGATTCAAACTGTGTGCCTTTGGGATTGCAGTGCAGCTTCTTGCCACTAGGCCACAGAGCTGCCTAGAGGCAAGGATTTTGAAGCTCTGTCTGACATACTTTGGATTAGAGAAAAATATCATGCTTGGAAGGCTGGAGGGACAGTAGGAGAGGAAGACCCTGCATGAGATGGATTGGCACAGTAACTGGGGTAATGGGGGCAGCTGTGTCAGAGACAGTGAGACTGGTTCAGAATAGGGTAGGGTTTAGAGCTACTCCCCTATGAGTTGCAGGTGACTCAACAGCACATAACAACAACAAAACAATAACTCCTATTGCCAAAAGACTACAAGAGATGGCACAACTAATTTGGAGAGTAGTTTTGCACATTCCTGAAAAGGTCAAAACAGTTGCCATACACATAAGAAATGAAAACCAAGTAGCTCTGGTGGCCTAGTGGCAAGAAGCTGCACTGCAATCCCGAAGGCACAGGATTCAAATCCACCAAGTAGATGCTCTGCTGGAGAAGGAGGAGCAATCTCCTCCTGTGCCTGTCGGATCCCATTTGACGGCACACAAGAAAAGAAAAAAAAGAAAAGAAAAGAAAAACAGCTTCATACAAAAGTTTGTTCATAGTAACATTATTCATTCATACAACCCAAATGGCCATCACTAATGAATGAATATACAAAATATTTTTCGGCCATAAAAAGGAATGGAGTACTGACCCATGCTACAATAACAAAAAGTTCCATTGCCATCAAATTGGAACCAACTCATAGCTGACCCTCCAGTGGATTTTCAGAGGCTGCAAATTGCACAGAGGAGACTGTTTATCATTCTCCCTCAGAGCTGCTGATGGATGCCAATTGTCTGCTTTTACTACAATTTAGGGAACCCTTAAAACTATTGTCACCTAAAAGAAGGAAAATGTGGAAGACCACCCATTGTAGAAAATGTCTAAAGGTAGAGGAAGTACATTTAGTAACTGTCCAGGACTGGGAGAAGCTCTTGTGGCACAAAAGGTCTGTGGTTTGAGCCCACACTCTGCTGGAGAAAGATGTGGCAGTTTGCTTGCCTGAAAATTTCCAGCTTTGGAAACCCTATGAGGCTGTTGGTATAAATTGGAATCAGTGCATATTTTCAAGAGTCCTTAGAGAAACATTATGCTGGGGAAAATAGAGGATTGGCTATTGAGAAGAAGACCCTCAACAAAATGGACTGACAGAACTACCACAGTGGGCATGAGCATGACAAGAGATCCTGAGACTGGTCCAAGACATTATAAGGTTCAGATTTGTTGTTTTTAGGGTCGCAACGGCTTATGGTAAGAAATAGAGCTGCCAATGCAAAGGGCCTGGTAGAAAGACAGGCACTCTCTTCCCATGTAATTTACTGCCTTTGAAAACCTGCAGAAAGGTCAGGTATGGGTCGGTTCACACTCCAATCCATAGCTGGGAGGTACCCAACAATATGAGTCATAGTTGACTTGATGGCACTTAACAACAATAACAACAGATAGCAGAGGGCTATCTGTGTTGTTTTTATACCCAGGACCGGACCGGGGGAGCGTAGAATAGGGAGTGATTGCTACTGGGTATGGCATTTCTTCGGGGGATCATAGCAAGGAAACAAAATACTGATGACTACACAACTTGGTAAATATACTAACTCCAGTTGAATTTGAAAACATGTTTCTCATATATAAATCTTTTTTTAAAAAATTCATTCATTGTTACATTTTCCTCTCTCCCCTCCCCTAGTCCACTTTGCAATGCACCTCTTGTTCCTGATTGTTGTCATGCCATGTATCCATATATTTAAATTGAAGTGAATTGGTGCATTAAATGATTATCAGAGACAGAAGTAGAACTTAAGGCAGTGCGGCTCAATAAACCTGTTCATCAATCTTAATAATTAGGTCTCCCGGGAGCTCATTTTTTAAGCCTAGGGAGCCGTGACCAGTGGAACAGGGCTATCGAACTTGTAGGGGCTTGGTGGGGCTTTTAAGGGCTCCCCTCGACGAGTTCCTGAGGCCATCTGCGTCTTGTCAGAGTTCATCGCCACCAGAGCTCGCCATAAAGGAATGAGTGAAACAGTACATCGCTAGGGACTCAGGAGGAGCAGAAGTTCGGTAGTCGCCGCTTACTGAACGGCCTCCCCCTGTATCTCTTAATTGAGAAGGTAAGCGCAGCAACTGCACACACCGCCGACTCGTGTGCTGTGTGTCTCTATGGGAGCGTGCATGCGTGTGCGGATGTGGGTCTACTTTCCCCTCCCTTCTCCCCCACCCTGTCCTAATGAGGTATAAACTGGTGCAGGCTTGTGGGCTACCTGCCAGCCAGGTGCTGGAGGTGACAGGTTCGCCCGGCTGCCAACCCGGAAAGGCCGGAGAAGCTGGTCCAGGTGAACTCTCCTGATTGGCAGCTTGGGGGACCCGCTGCCCCACCCCCTCACGTCGGGCCTGTTGGCGCCAGCCCGGGGCAGGTAGGCGGGGCCTGCATCCGTAGCGCCCATTGGGCGTGGAGGGACGCTCCCTAGTGGCTTAGAGTCCCGCCCCCAGCCGTATCGTGGCCAATGGCCGCGGCGAATGGGCAGGGCATTGGCGGCGTCGGCGGCTGCCGGGAGGCTGAGGTGGCTGAGGCGGCCGCTGAGGCTGAGGCTGAGGCGGCGGGCGCGGCCAGGATGGCGAAGAGCCGCGGAGAGAACGGGCCTCGCGCGCCCGCGGCGGGGGGAAGCCTGTCGGGGACCCGGGAGAGCCTGGCCCCGGGCCCCGACGCTGTGGCTGCCGACGAGCTCAGTTCTCTGGGCTCCGACTCGGAGGCCAACGGCTTCGCGGAGCGTCGCATCGACAAGTTCGGCTTCATCGTGGGCTCGCAGGGCGCCGAGGGCGCGTGAGTAGCGCCAGGGGCCTGGGCGGGGGG